ATTACCTACCCATCTATCTGTATTCATCTTAATGACAGCATCCTTGCCTCCCTCCTGGGAACCGAGGAGCCAAATACTGCACCTCTACTTCTTCCCTCAGGATGGCATCAGGTCCTGCAGGTCAGGCCTAGGGGGCTGTGGAACCTTCACAGGAAGTTACGTGTGGAAAGTGAGAGGGACTGGGCACCCCTGTTGTGGGGAAATGCTTGGATAGGAGAGAAAGCAACCCCTGCAAGCAATAAGAATTCTGGAGGGATTTTGTTTGGGAGACACTAGTTATAAATCAAACTATTTAGGAAAGTGTCTTAAAGAGGAAGAGGCAGCAAAGAAAGAGGCTCTAGAACAACAGAGATTCATCCACCCCACTGCAGATGGTGAAACGGTACTGCTGTCAAACTCAGGAGAGTATCCCTGCACCACGGTACCTGAGCGCGGGGGCATTCACTTGTGAGTTGCAGCAGCCAGAGGCAGCAGCAGGGATGATGGGGCAGGCAGGGCTGAAAGGCAGGGATGGGCATCGTGGCGGGTCCTGGAGCCTGCTCTGTCTGAGGTCTGTTCTGGGGAGGTCCTGGACTCTGCTATGCTGAGAGAGGCAAAACTGTATCTCCCATGACATAAGAGGAAATGACTATGATGGGATGAAAGGGATGTGGGATTATGGCAGTTCCAGTTTCTAGACTGTGAAATAGAAATCAGACACAAGCTAAGAACTTACTGATATAAGGGTCCCAAGGTGCTTGAAGAGGCCCTGGCAGATACCCTTAGTGCCTAGGCTCTGCCCTTTGGGCCCCTCATTTTGTGTCAGGTGTGACCCTTCCTCATCCAGGAACCCAGGAACAGGGTCTGCCACAGAGAAGGGTCTGGCCTCCAGTGATAGTCCAAAACCTGGGCTCAGATGAGCTGTGCAGCCAGTCAGGAGGAGGGCTCCTGGGGATGGGGCTTCACAGGTGTGGGTCCCTGTTTTCCCCATTCCAGAGATGTCAGTTGTAAAAATTAGCCTGTAGCCACGTCTGATGGGAGGCCTTGGCTCTTCAAAATACACTTACAGAGGAAGTGACTTTGAGTGAGTAAGGAGTTAGATCCTGGGAGGAGAAGGATAGTTTCTGTTTTAGAGGAAAGAGGAAGAAACCTGTGTGTGTTGAGGGGCAGAGTGCAGGGCCTTAGGGTGCTCATCCTGCAGGACATGCAGAAACACAGCTGGGAGGAGGAGGGGTGTCTCTTTTGTCTGTCTCCAGTCTGGGGCTACCTCTTGGGAGAAGGGAGTAGAGGAGCTGGAGAAATGCTCACACCAAGAATGCATCTCCTTTCTTCCTTCTGAGCAGCAGCCAGCCACCTGCACATCAAATCACACCCAGAGGTGCTAGCCATGAGCTCATCACTTCTCTGGGCCCACTGCCTCCCATGATTCAGTTTCCCTGCTGCTCCCAACCCCTGCCTCCTTACCAGTGGCTGACTGGATGTTGGTGATGAGAAGGGGCAGGATAAAAGGGGATAATCAGCGATGGGATTTGATTGCCCCATGGCATGACAAGTGTTCCTCTTGACACCTTATTCTAGCTTGTTAAACATTTTTTCCAAGAGGGAATTCCTTGGCAAGGAACTGGCCAGTGTGCCCTTTAGCATTCACTGTTCTGACTCTAATCCCTCTCTTCACTGATGACAGATTCTATTTTCCAGAGCTGATTGCAACAAGGTCCTTCTTTTCTCATGCTCTTCGACCCTCCTTCCATGGAGATGTAGGCATATGTTCCCTCCCCCTGAGTTTGGGCAGGCCTGCACCTGCAACAGAAGCGATGTGATGTGACTTCTGAGACTAGACTATGATAATTTCCTGTACCTCTACCTGACTGGCTTGGGACGCTCATTTTTGGAACCTTGCCACCATGCTATGAGGAAGCCCAACTAGCATGCATGAAGAGATCACATTGCAGGGACACATGTAAGAGTTCTAGCTGACATCCCAGCTAAGATGCAGCCAATATCCAGTATCAATCATCAGTCATGTAAAAGAAAAAGCTTTCAGATGACCCAGCAGTGGAGTCATCTTCAGGTGAGTTTGAGACCCCAGGCAAAACAGAACAGAGAAAGTCATTCTTGTATCCTCTCTGAATTCCTTACCCATAGTGTCACTGATCATAATAAAATGGTTGTTTTTTGTCCTTATGTTTTGGGGTGTTTTGCTATGCAGCAATAGTAATTAGACAGCACCCCCTTGGAAACATTTTCACTACCCGCACTGATTAGATTCTGCCTCCTTCACTGGATTTGCTGTTCCTCGTTGGCAAGAATCACTGAATATAGAGATTAAAAGGCAGGCTGCAGGGATAGAAGGAAGAGTGGGTCCGATTCTTGGACCTAGGTGGTATTTGCTGGGCAGTGGGCAAGCTGTCCACATGCTTATGCCTTGCTGCCTGCTAAGCATCTACAGAGCATGCTCAGCACTCACCTCCCATCAGCTCTTTTTTTCTGTGTCCTCATCTTAGTGTATCCTCATCCTCCCAGTTAGTTAAGCTAGAAAACCTTGGTGTCACGTTTGATTTTGATAATTCCTCCTATCACCCCATATCCTATCATCTAAATACATTTTTGTTGAACTGCTATAACAGAATACCATAGACTGGGTGGCTTATAAGGAACAGAAATTCATGTCTCACATACCTGAAGCCTGGCAAGTCTAAGATCCAGAAGCTGCAGATTTGGTGTTTGGTGAGGGCCCACTTCTGGCTCATAGACAGCTTCTCACTGTGTTCTCACATGGTGGATGGGGCATGAGTGCTCTCTGGGGCCTGTTTTATAAGGACACTAATCCCATTAATGACTCTACCCTGACGACCGAATCACCTCCCAATAGCCTTCCTCCTAACGCCCACACATGAATTTGGAGGGGACAAAAACCTTTCCTGCATAGCGATCTTAAATCATCCTGCATCTCTCTCTCCACTGTCATCCCTGGCTTGGACAGGCTACCAATTTGCCCCCCTTACTCTTTCTCTATTTCAGTCTTTCCCTTACACTGTAGCCAGAGTGTACTTTTAGAAATTTAGAGAAATATGACAATGCTTCTTCCCATTGTTCTGAGGGAAAATAAAAGATTTTTCTCTTGTTCCTGACTGATCCAGCCTCAGCTTCCAGCCCTTTCACTCCCAAGATGCTGCTTTTTTTTTCCCTGAACTGCAGATAAACACTCCCTTCTCCTCCTTGTTGTAGATAAACTGAGAGTGCCCCTAGTACCTTGTAAGAATTCGTAAACAGATGTTTATGTTGGTTGTCTGCCTTACTTGCTAGAGCACACCCCTCAATGAGAACAGAAGTTGGCTCACTCTGTTTCCCATTGAGAATGCTCAACAGGTATTTTGTACCCAAGAGGGAATGGGCAGTGGGTTCATGATAAGTGTTCCTGGTGACCCCAGGTGTTTGGCCTCTGATCTAGGTCTCCCCAGAAGCATTAATGCCACAGGATCCCTGCCTCTTCTGGGATCCCATAGTTGCCCTTTCTTTTTTCCCCTTTTTGGGGCTCCCCATCCCTGGAAACCCTGGGAGCCTGACACTGATTAACTAAGCCGCAGTAGTAGCCTCACAGCTACCTCATCCTTGATCCCCATTTGGTCAGGACTGGCTTCTACCCTTAATGCTGGATGCTCCCTTGGTTGGATGTTGCTGGGGCACCAAGAGGTGATATCCAGCCCTGTGAGATGAGAGTTGCCTCCTCCCTGGGCCCTCTAATCCCTTCTCTTTTCCTGAAGACCTCTTTTGCAAACACTTGATCAAGCCCCTCTTCCCCCATTACCACATCCGAGATGGAGCCTCTCAGTGTATTCCAGGAAATTCCTGGGGAAGTAAGAGTGATGTGCCCTTCTCTTGCCTCCAGATGAACCTAGGCACCATGTGTCCTTGTGGGTCCTTCTTGGAATTACTTCTTTCCCAACCTTAACCTGCTCCCAGACCAGGCTGTGGCCACCACCTTGTCCTGCCTCCTTGAACCTCCCCTCAGTTTACAGTTAGGCTGTCTTCCTACAGAATAGAAGATGGAGACTCTATCACCAACAGCACCTTGTGGCCTAGGAGGATGGTTACAAAAGGAAGGGTGGGCAACAAGTGTCATCAGAGGGCATAAGGGAGTCCATCCTTCAGGGCCTTCACTTTCCCATCTGAGGCTCCCAGGGCCCATCTTAGACAATGGTTCCCATTGCACTGTGCCTTGCTAGCACAGATACCTGAGGCAGGAGCCCTGGTGAGCACACCTGCATCTCACACTGCTGGGCTGGGCCTTATCTAGGAAAAAGGAGGCAGCTCCAACCATTTAACTACCTTGTATTACCTTGTTAGCTCTCAACATAGTCCCCTGAGATGGATATTATTATTTTTATGTTGTTGAGAAAATCAAGGCTCAGAGATTTTAGGAACTTTCAAATCAACAAGGTGCAGGAGATCCAGACACCTGGGACGCCCAGAGCCTGGAGACTAGGAGAACAGCACCACGTCAGGGCACAGAAGGATGTGTCTACACTGGGAGTAAGTGGAATACAAGTGTGTTCCTACTGGGAGAATTTCAAGGCTGTTCTGCTCAGCACCAGGAAGAATCTGGGTACAATCAGAAAATAAAGAAAACACTAAAAAATCTCCTGGCAAGAAACCATTAAGGTAATTCAAGGAAATATAGACTCCTTGGCTTGGTAGGAGTTTCAGATGTTATCTAGTCCTCCTATGACCTTGTACCTTAAAATTCTAGTACGTGAAATCCTGTTTGTAAATATACGAGACCTTAAAAGAAAGTGCAGCACATCATATATGTGATCTTTCTAGGGAGTTGCATTGGATGTACTTGTTTCATAATAGATATTTAGTTTATGACAAATACCTACACAATTCTGGATTTTTTTGTGTATGTGCATGCACTTGTGTGTGTGAGAGAGGAGACTGTGAGAGTGTGTGAGTCAGCAAGAGAATGAGAAAGAAAGTGGGCTTTGCTTTCATAATTTAAACTTTTATAAATCTGACAAAGAACATTTTATGAAAAGATGAAGGATCCCCCTTAGGTTATGGAGGCCTTGCTATTGGCTACATCTGAGAACTGTTCAGGTGAGGAGAGCCCCAAGATGTCATTTTTGCAGTGATCTTCTGCCAGCCATCTTGTTCCACCTGGCAGGTGAGGATAGTGTCCCCTTCATGGTCAGTGTTTTTCACCAGGATGGAGCTCTGCATGCTGTACAGCCCATCTTTGCCCTTGGTGGGGGTCAGGGTCTCACTTATCTGGGAGACACTTCCATCTTTCAGCCAGGTCAGTTCCATGTCCTGGGGATAGAACTTCTCTGCCTGGCAGATGACATTCATCTTGTTATTTGAGGCAGGGTATTGAAGAACGGACATCTTGGGTGAAACTGAGACAGCACAGAACACATGCTCAGACTTTATGAAACAATCAGATCCATCTGCTTATTGCTTTGTGGCCATGTGCTTAGCACCTACCGAGCATGTGGCCATTCCTAGCACACAGTAGATATTCAGTAGCTGTAATGACCTATTATTATTTAAGCCTATTCCCTGGAGCAAATCTGGGAAGAACTATGCTCCAAAGACATGTGAAAGTCTGGTACATGTGGTGTTACCTACCTATTATGGTCTCAGACAAATCAGCCTTCCCACGAAGAGGGTAATGCAAACTTCGGTGGTACACACTGCATGTGATATGAGAGTTTAGGTCATTCAGAGCTAGGACTACCTCCGTGGTACTGACAATTTTGTAGGCATTGCTGTTCTTTAACCGAATCACATGGGTCTGGAGGGATGAAAGTTTCTTCTTATTTTTGAACCACTTCAGGGTGATATTTTTGGGATAGAAGCCATAGGATATGCAGCTAAAATTCACAGTCTGTCTGAGCAAGGCCCTTTCCAAGGGGCCTATTACCATAGGGAGAGAGGGTGGAGCTACGAAAAGGAAGATGAATAAATAATTAGTGTTGGTAAGCCATACAGTATTCTATGTGCTTTATATAATTTTAATTCTGACAACTCCGTGATTAGGTATGATAATGTCCATTTTATAGATAAGGAAATTGAAGCTGGTAGAGATAAAATGAAAAATACTAGCAACTTGCAGAGCCTGGACTGGGACACAGGTTTCTCTGATCACACAGCCTGTGATCTTTACTCAGGAGCCATATTCCTGTATCTTTCTCACTCTGGGTATTGATTACTCCTACTTACCCGTTTTCACTTAATAAGGTTTAGACAAGGAATAGAAGGAAATGTTCTTAGCCTGATGCCTATCTACCAAAAATCCTGTAACAAATTATTTTTAGTGCAACTTTACAAGAATGTCCTTTAGAATAAGCAACAACAGGATACCTACTTACATTGTATCTATTCAATGATGTACTGGAGATTATGGCTTAAGCAATGAAACAAAAAGTCATGAATAAATAATAATTGAGAAGAAAAAAATATAATGTAAACTTGCAGAGAAAACTTAAATGAATCTGCTCACTAAAAAACTGATGGATTGGAAAACCCACACACGCATGGGAATTTGGGGATCAGTGAAAAAAGTGAGCTAGTCAACTAGATAGAGACAGCTGTATTTTTATGAATAAACGTTTTTAAATTATTATATTTGACTGAACACAGAAATAAATTCCAAACAGACCATTCTTAAATCTAAAATTTAATGAAACTATAAGAAGAAAAAATAAGGGAATATCTATATGTCTTTGAGGTGGGAAAGGACTTTAAGGCAAGATCTTAAAACCACAACTAATTGAGATTTGTAAAGTTGACTTTAAGGATTTATAAAGGTAACTACAATGAGGATCAAATTATATATGATGAGAAACAAAATGTAAAAGCAAGCAACAAATAGGAGAGGAAAGAAAATAATACATATAAGATAACATAAATGAAACAAAAAACGAGCATAAAATATAGAGGATCAGCAAAACAAAAATGCTTTCTTTGAAAATATATAATCCTCTGGTGAAAATGAAAAGAGAGGAAACAAAATAATAAGAGAGAGAAAGAGAGAGAGAGGTACAATCACAGGTGTGCAAAAGGGACATTACTATAAATCTTGCAGACATTAAAATGATAAAAACTGGATATCCTGAATAGCTTTTGCCAATATAAAATATAAAGTTTAGAAAAAGTAAAAAACTATCTGGAAAAATGTAACATCAAAAGGGAATAAGAAGAAATAAGAATCCTGAGCACTATCAAAATTATTAAAGAAACTGGATCAGTAATTTTAAAAAATGTTCTTATAACAAAAAATCTAGATCTAAATGACTTCACTGGAAATATCTGCCAAACATTTATGTAATAAATAAATTTTATCTTATGTAATCTTTTCTAAAAAATAGAAAAAGAGAATACATTTCCCAACTCATTTTTCTGAAGCTAGCATAACTTCAACAACAAAATTCCAACAAGGATAATATAAAGGAAAAACATCATAGATTATTATCTTACTTCTGAATAACTGTTCAAAAATTCTGGACAAACTTTAGCAAATTGAATAATATACTACCACCAGAATGGTTTCATTTCAGGAATAAAAAGTTGAATTAATATTAGAAAATCAGCCTGGGCAACATGGCAAAACTACATCTCTATAAAAAATTCAAAAATTAGCCAGGTGTGGTGTCATGGGCCTGTAGTTCAGCTACTGGGGAGACTAAGGTGAGAGGATCACTTGATCTCTGGAGGTCAAGGCTGCAGTGAGCTGAGATTGTACCACTGCACTCAGGCCTGGGTGAAAAAGCAAGACACCATCTCAAAAAATAAAAAAGAATATCAAATAATGCAAAAGGCAAAACCATGAAGCTTAACTATAAGTTATGTAAGGGTATATCTTCAGGATTTATGGGGTTAAGGATAGATTTCTTAAGCACTGAAAGCTATAACCACAAAGGAAAAGGTTGAAATTTTGACCACACTAAAACTAAAACCTTTGTAATTGTTTTATTAAATTATTGTAATGGATGCTTTTATTACTGGGCTTCAATCATTTTTATTTTTCTAATATAGAGATTTAAGGCTATAAATTCCAAGTACAGCAGTAACTACATGCCTCAAATTTAATGTACAGTTTATTATTTAGTTCAAAGTATTTTCTAGAATCTGTTGTCATTTCTTTTTTGATAAATAGGTTATTTAGATTATTTCCCAAATTCATAACATATGAGGATTTTCTAATCATCTTTTCATAAGTATTTATAGTTTAATTCCATTATGATCAGAAAACATACCTATATAAATTTCAATATTTCAAAATTTGTTGAGACTTGCTTCTTGACTGAGAACATGATTAATTTCAGTTAACATTTCACATAGGCTTGAAAAGAATATGTGTTTTTCAGTTGTTGGGTGCAGTGCTCTATATATGCCAATTACATCAACTTTTTTTTTTTTTTTGAGACGGAGTTTCGCTCTTGTTACCCAGCCTGGAGTGCAATGGCGTGATCTCGGCTCACCACAACCTCCGCCTCCTGGGTTCAGGCAATTCTCCTGCCTCAGCCTCCTGAGTAGCTGGGATTACAGGCACGCACCACCGTGCCCAGCTAACTTTTTGTATTTTTAGTAGAGATGGGGTTTCACCATGTTGACCAGGATGATCTTGATCTCTTGACCTCGTGATCCACCTGCCTCGGCCTCCCAAAGTACTGGGATTACAGGCTTGAGCCACCGCGCCTGGCCTCAACTTTGTTAATCACATTGATCAAATCTTTTGTATCCTTGCTGACGTTTTGTCTGCTTGTCCTCCTAGTTACTGAGAGAGGCGCTGTGGTAGGTAGCCTTTAAGATGATCTTCACCTCCTGGCATTCATACCACTATGTAATCCCCTCCCCTGGATTTAGTGACTCACTTCTAATAAACAAGTAAAAGTAACAGGATGTCACTTCTGAAATGAGCTTATAAAGAGACTGTGACTTGTATCTTCTTCTTCCCCTCTCTCCTGTTTCTTGAGAAGCAGCTGCCATGTTGTAAGCTGTCCTGTGGAGAAGCACATGTGGAAGATAGCTGATGTCTTCAGCCAGTTGCCAGCAAGGATCTGAGGCCTGCCAACAGCCGTGGGAGTGAGCTTGAAGTGGATTCTTCTCCAGTTGAGACTTTGGATTATCGCATTCTTGGCAGACATCTTGATTGCAGCCTTGTAAGAAACCTTAAACCAAGGTTCACTCAACCTAAGCCTTGTCTAGAATTCTGACCCACAGACAGTGAGACGATAAGTGTTTGTTGTTTGAAATCACTAAATTTTAGGTAATCTGTTATGCAGCATCAATGACTAATACAGGTTTGTTAAGAAGCTGGTAGCATAACTATGAATTTCTCTATTTTTTTATTTGTGTCATTTTGCATATTTTGAGGCTTTATTAGTAATTGGATGAACGTTAGGATTGTTATAACTTCCTGATGAGTTAAACCTCTTATTCTTATGAAATGCTGCATTTTAAATTTGTATAATACTTTTTGCCTTAATGTCTATGTTTTCTGGCATCAATATAACAACCTGAGCTTTCTTTTGCATGTTGTACCTTTTCTGTTTATTTTCTTGTCAATCTTTCTGTATTATTATATTATAGTGTTTTCTGAAAGTAATTGAAGTGTACATAAATTATATTTTATTTTGTCTAGTCTGACAACCTTTATATTTTAATGACAGCATGTTTCCACTTGCATTTACTAGAAGTACAAAGATATTTAGGCTTAACATTAGTTTGCTTGTATTTGATTTCTATTTATACTGGCCATTCTTTATCCCTCTTTCTCTCCTTTCTTGCCCTCTGCTGAAGTTTTAAAATTACTCAAGTTCTTATTTTTTTTATTTCAATAGGTTTTGAGGGAACAGGTGGTGTTTGGTTACATGAATAAGTTCTTTAGTGATGATTTCTGAGATATGAGTATACCCATCACCTGAGCAGTGACACTGTATCCAATGTGTGCAGTCTTTTATCCCCCACCACCCCCCATCCTTTCCCCCAAGTTCCCAAGGTCCAATGTATCATTCTTATGCCTTTGCATCTTCAAAGCTAAGCTCCCACATAAGCTCACTCTCACATGAGTGAGAACATATGATGCCTGGTTTTCCATTCTTGAGTTATTACACTTAGAATAATAGCCTCCAATTCCATCCAGGCTGCTGTGAATGCCATTATTTCATTCCTTTTTGTGACTGAGTAGTATTTTAACACACACACCACACACACACACACACACACACACACACACACACACACACGCCTGATCTCTTGCTTCTCTGTCCGCTTATTTGTTTTGTAATTTTCCTTTGTGAGATTTTTAGAACCTACCTATGATCACCGGAGCTTATTTAACAGCAGATATCCCACAGGTGGAGAAAGGCAAGGGAATGTCTCTCCATGAGGGAACTCAAGGTATATAAAGGTAGGCAGGCAATTATTTCTTATAAAGTTAGCTGGAGAGAACCTCTTCATTTCTCCTTTTACTGTACTGTTTGTGTTTCAAGGGCAGAAAAAGCTCTGCCATCCACTTGGCTCCTTCTGCACTTTTGGGAATAAGAAATCATGTGGTCCTTTTCCCATGGGTTTACATTTTACCAAAAGCTAAGTTCCCTTACTTACCTATTTGCCACATTTCAGGGTAGGCACCTTAATTTTGATATTGTTTACAATTTCCCTCTAAACCATGGGGAAGAAAGTCCAATAGGAGATCTTCATGCTGGGAACCCCAAGATAATCTTCTCACTTTAACTCATTTGCATTTAGGTCCCAGCAGCTATTGTGTTCGTGAGAGGCAAATATCTCAAGAGTATCAATCTAGAAGGATAGAAGCCCTTACTTAGATTTTTTTTTTTTTTTTTTTTTTTTTTTTTGCTTATAGTTAGGCTATAAATGGCCCCACATGCCCAAAGATGAAAGATCGCATTCTTGGGATCTGTGAATGTCACAAGGCA